AAAACTGAACCTGAGCCATAAATTATTCAATCAAACCACTTAGAACCTGAGTTTTTTAGTGCTCGCCAGTCCCGTTACATGATTCCCAACGTAGAGCAAAGGAAGGGGGAAAATCTGCCGAGACAAAACGAATGAATGAATGAATGAATGAATGAATGAATGAATGAATGAATGAATGAATGAATGAATGAATGAATGAAGTTAACAAGACAACAAAACAGAGACAGATACTTTTGAAGGAGCTCACTTTTAGGAGAATGCTTCTGTCAAAGTCTTGAAACTGCACAGTTCGGCTCATTTTGGCCACATAAAGGACAATAATGGTGGTGAACATCTGAAAGGAGCAGGAAATACGTGATTTTAAATAAAAACAAAAACAACAACAACAACGACGACGACAGCAAAAAATGAACAACTCACCTGTCCAATCCCCAGACACAGGTAGGAGGGAAATCTGCAGCACAGAAACAAAAAACAAAGATGTTTAAACTACAGAGGCTTCCTCCGTGTGTGCTGTCGGGATGAACAAACTGACCTGAAGCTCGTGAGCACGGTTTTGTTCACCACGGTGATGAGAAACGAGCTGCCGGCGTAAAACAGAGCAGAGAGCAGCTTGAGGAGGGCCGGGTGTTCCGCTGTTTGCTCCAAAGACATTTTTTTAAATAAACTTTAAAAAAAAAAAGTTTATAATCTGTTTGTCTTCTGTAAAGTTCAGTTTCCTGCTCTGTGCTGTTACTGACTGGATTTCCTGGAGGAAGGAGGCGACAGGTGGGCGGTGCTTCCTCTGTTTATGTAATTCAGAGGGGCGGGGCTTAAACAGAACAGAACATGAGGTAATGATAATACACAGAAAAAACTACACTATTACAGAAAACTATTGTTTTACCAAAACAGCAACTCAGAAGAGTTTTATGATGTGAAAGTAAAAAAATGGAAACATGGAGGCAAGTTTTGTTGGGAAATCATGAATGAATTAAAAGCCTAACATTCCCTGAAGGAATTCACATTGTGCAACACTTTTAATTCAAAGTGGCCACCCCAACCACATGTTCATATGAATGACTCTCAGTTACCACCACACCACATTACAGCTCAAAGTATATAGAATTTATGGCGTTAAAGCCCATTAAGATTAACGTGTTTAGATGTTCATCCAATGATTACTTTCTGGGTTTCGTTGAATCCCTTTGCTGCTGTAGGCTTAGACTGCTGGAGGACAAACTAATCTCACTGTGGTTCWGCACACATGTCAACCACTTTGGGCATTTCTTGACCCTCAGAAATAAGTAATTTTCACAAAAAGAAATATGTAGTACTCTCACACAATTCAAATGGAATTGGGTTTGGAGCAGACAAGTGGAGTGTGGGCCGTGGAGAGAGGACATGTGGCGCAGATAACTGCCTCTGCAGCTGCAGAGACAAAAGGAGGCAGTGAAATTATTTCCTAATAGCATGCCGGCTCTGAGACTTGTAGACAAAATGGGGGGAAATCTGTGCAATTTATGGACAAACCATAGCATATGTGACAGTTATACTGTTGTCTTCACTCTCCTCTCCATGCTTTTGTAAGCAAATATTGCGGCCATTAGCCTGTTTTCTGTTTGTTTACCTTCCCACAGAAACACACTTGAACCAATCACTCTGTGTTTGTCTGTATCCTCTCAAACTGCAGCCAGTTGAGGCACTTGGCCGCCCTGGTTCTGGTTCTGCTGGAGGTTACATCCTGTTAAATGGGAGTCATTCCTTTCCACCGTCACCAATGTGCTGCAACAAAAATAACGTYTCCACACACTCTTTCAAATATTAGCTATAAACATGTATCAGCTAAGTTGGTTAAAAACACTTGAAGATTTTGACACAATTTAAATTAATAGCCGACTGATCTGTTAATTGTTAAAGAAATAAAAATGGAAACAATTCCATAAGAAAGATCGCTCTATAGCTTTATACAAGTAAAAAAAAATTACAAACCCGATGGATCCAAAATTACCATTTCAAAAAAAACTAGGTGTATTTTAAGAGGAAAGAAATTATCTGGGTCATTATCAGTCCAAAGCCAGCAGTAGTTAATGAGTGAACATGTTGGACCCGTCAGGCCACCAGTCTTAGTTTTGAAGCTGKATATGGCACCGTACCAACAGTATTTTTTTAAAGCAGATGCTTAAAAAAGATATTTTATCCCCCCAAATAAATATGATCAGTGATAGCAATATAGCTTTGTTCAACAAAGCCAAACTTTACTTCAGGGCAGGAAATGAGAACGTGTGAACGTCTGTCCTGGCACTGAAATGTCATTTAAATTTCAATTTTGCACATGAAATGACATCATTCAAGGTGAAAAAAAAAAAACTCGTAATGCAAACAGAAGTTAGAGGCAAAATTCAAACATCTGAGTCCGTTTGACTTCACACTCATTCCCGTGTTTACATTCACCACACTGATTAACTGCTCGCTGTGTGTTTTAGTCTGAGTCAAATGTCACGGCGCTGCACGTCCTGACCCCTGTTCAGACCGAAGAGTTCGTCTGAAAGCTGCTTCGTGTTAAACATTAAGAGAGAGCATTGTGAGAGAAAAGGGCAACATGCTGGAGTTTCTATTCCACTTGAAAAATAAGTGGCTTTATCTGCATGTCAACMACAGTCTGACTGTGTTTAATACACTGATGATGTGCACCATGTATGAATAGAAGGGAAAGACTGTAGCCTGTGTATTTAAGATCAGGTATAAAAGGGACGGAGTATAAAACAATGAGCCTCATTAGACTGTGGAGTTCCTTGTTATCTGCAGCATATCTCCTGTCAGAGTGACTTATTCTTTTGTTTGATGAATCTGCAGAAGAGAATAAAAGTAATTACAGGCCCAGTGTTCTTTGAAAAAAACGACTGGGAGTCCGTGTTGGAAATAACTCAAGTTTTAGTAAAATATCTGTAAAACTAAGTGCCCTTTACCCATTTTTACTGCATGTTTTCTTGGGTTGACTCCAAAGTTGTTCAGCTTCACTAAAATCCACTCACCTGTCTATAAGATATTTTGCTAACAGGCAAATTAACCCACTTCCACGTGTCAAAAACGTCATCACCTTTAATCAAAACTGGTGACTTCACAGTTTCTTTTTGTCCACAGCTCATGTTTTTATTTTCAGTGTGACCACAAGATGGTGCTAGAGCACAAGACTTAGGGTTTTAAACCTACTGATAACTCCCTGGGCCAGCAGTGGCAAAAAAAATCTATCARTATTAGTTTAAATGTTATATAATGTGCTAATATTCTTATAGAACTACAAATGACCTTTTCCAAATTGTATATTGTGTAGCATTTAGAACATGCATAACCAAACAAGTAAAGAAAAAGATTACATTTAGAAAGACATCTTTAGCATTCATTTCTTACGCCTTACTCTCTACTAACAGAAAATACAGAAAAAGATTATTAAAGTTGCTTGAAAGTTGTCCAGTTGTCACAAGAAGACTGCAGTAAATCCAGTGACACAGAAGCTAAAACTATTTTACAAGTGAAGTATTGCCTTTGATAAAATGTTAACGAGGGCCAGATTTGGCCTGCGGGCCTTATGTTTGACACATATGCCTAGGCATGATTTTTAGTTGGCTGTTTGTACAATTGGACACTTTTGTAAGTCTGTTCTGCTTTTTCTACAAAGTTATATTTATCAAAGTTTACACAAAAACATCCAGCAAAAYGAACTCAGTCTGAGTAAACTTTTCTGTGTGTTTAGTTGCTCCAGTTCACGAGAGSAGAGGAGACAAAGCTTCGCTGATGGATCAGCGCCTGAAGACTGATGACAAAGGATTAAGTTGTGAAGTAACTCAGAAAATGTTCGTTGCCGTGACCTTTTTTTATGTGCRTTACCTTAAGCTTATCTGACAGCTTTCTGTTAAATTTTGAGAAGTCTGCTGGGATTTTTCAAAGTGAAAATATTTCTTACTTCTAATTTAGTCGGGAGCGATACTCAGGATGCTTTGAGTTATTACCGCAAACTGTTCAACCTGTCTTRACATGAACATGTTTGGTTGAAACTATTGAAGGTTAACTTATTAAAAAGGATGTGCTGAAAGCTTTTTTTTATATATCTTTAATAGGTTTTGGCAACCACAGCAGATCCATGACTCATTGTTGACTTACCGGTAATTACATTTTTCTCCTTATTGTAAAATTGCACTTTTTTTGTATATATTTTGGACAAAAATGCAGGAACATCAAAACTGATTAGTTTATTTTGCAAATAGACTGATATCTAAGATATTATGAAGTTGTGGCAGTTTTAATTAAAGCTTGAATATAATTTAAAGCACAATCTAAAGCAATATTGCCAGATGTAACACTAAGAATATGTGTTGTGAATGACTCTCAGCTACTACCACACCAATATCTGTAAAACTAACTGCCAAATAGTCATTTTAATGCATTTGAAGGTCAGTTAAATGTTGCAGTAATCTTTAATTGAACTGATTCTACAAGTCAATCAGCTGTAAACATATATCCCATGATCCTTTTCTGCAAACCTCATTAAAAAAATATTTTTTACAGTTAAGTTAGGCACTAAAATAATCCAAGCTGGGGTCAAAAGTGCTTCAAATTCATAATAGAACAATGCTAAACTATAAAAACAAACATGATCGTATCTCAGCGTACCTGGAACGTAGCCATTGGCATTTACAGTTTTATTGCTTTTTTTTTCCTCAACTTTTTTTATGTGAACCACTTAATATAAAAAGTACCAAATCAAATAAATGAGATGAATGAGGTTTTTTCCAGAAGAATGTGATGATGTTTTCAATGTGTAACAGCTTGTCTCTGAGGGATTAGTCATGTCAAAAAATAAATAAATCCCAAAGATAGTCAGACATAGCTGCCTTTATAGCAGGATTACCCAAATTTACTTATGTTTGCTTACTTGCTTATATTTCTTCTTTTAGCTAAGAAAGGTTCATGTTAAATATAACAAAAAAACCCCACCTCAAATCAAATATATAAGCACATTTCTGCTTTATTCTTTTTGAATRAATTCAGTGGTAGAAGGTGTACATGTATATTCATATACATATAAAAAAGAAACAGCGATGACCCTCACTAAAAATACTACAGTAATGCCTTTGTGTAAAATTTGTTTTTAATCAGCGATGTTAACAATTATCATTGAAAATGTCACATTAAGTTTAAAAGCTGGAAAATTCATGTAGAAAGGTCAACATTTACCTGTAAGTACAGTAATATATGGAAATATACAGCAACGTTWTATACAAGTTCCCCCAATAGAGAAAATATCACATTTGTTTGTCACTTTTTAAAGTCACATTAAAATAAAAGGTGTTTTTTCCAGGGATATCAAGAGAATTCAGTGAACACCAGTACATTTATACAAACGGAGGGCGGTGGCAGAGCTGTAACCTATCGACTTGCAGGATCCACTCCTGGCCTTTAAATGTTCTTCCTGTGCGTTACTTCTGGTAATCCTGTTTCCTCCCGCTGACCAAAAACGTGCACGTTAGGTTTTTGGTAACTAAAAGGTGTGAGTGTGAACGGTTGATTTTTTTTTTCTTGGTTCTCTATGAGTGTCCCTGTGATGGAGATAGGCACCAGCTCCAAACCACACAGAAAGAAAAAAAAAAACAGGTTAACCCTCTTATTTTGACCCTTGGGTCAAAATGAAACCACACATTTTAAAACTGAGACCTCGTTGGACATTTTRACCCAAGGGCAGCAGGAGGGAAAAGAGTCTGCAGGAAATATATTACACA